AGCTTAACTTTTCATTGGAGGGTAGCTCACTAACAACTGAGGCCCTAAATATCGTTTAGGATCAAAAATGATCAATTAAAGAGTACACACACATTTCACTGGGTTTGAAAGACTCCTGTGACAGTTTGAAAAGTTGCTGTGGCAATTTGTTTAAAAAAAAAGGTGCATGCATCTGAATTTTCTTTCATTTCTATTCTTCATTCCTGGAGAACACCTGCTCCTGCTAGGCTCTGGCCTGGCAGTTAGCTAAAGCTGATTGGACAAGCGATTGAGATCAAATACACAAACATTGGCCAGTTTTGTCTGCTCTCCTCTTGAAAAGCTAACCACATAGGCCTATGATTCCCTGGTGGAGATTAATGTTCACAGTGTCTCAGTGGTTAGCACTGCTGCCTCACAGCACTAGGGACCCGGGTTCGACTCTACCCTCAGGTGACTGTCTGTGTGGAGTTTGCATGTTCTTTCCATGTGGATTTCCTCTGGGTGCTCCGGTTTCCTCCCACAGTCCAAAGATGTGCAGGTTAGGTGGGCTGGCCATGCTAAATTGCTCCTAGTGTCTAGGCTAGGTGGATTAGCCATGGGAAACGCAGGGTTACAGGAACAGCGTAGTGGTGTGGGTTTGGGTGGGATGGTCTTTGCAGGCTGGTGTGGACTTGATGGGCCAAATGGCCTGCATCCACACTGAAGGGATTCTATAAAAACTAAAGTTGCCATTGTCTTCCCAGACCGTAGATGACGGTGGCGCTTTAACCTGAGGGTCACCACACCTCAGGCGAGGTGAGAGGTTGAGAAACAAAGTCCTTTATGGAATCATCAGCTGGTGTGGGAGTCAAATCTACGCTGTTGGCCTCACTCTGAACGCAAAGCAGCCGTCCAGCTGACTGAGCTAACCGGCCCTCACAGATAATGAATGGCCAGATGACTTATGCGGCAGCCCAAACAGCAACTTTAATCTGGGTACCGATTCATTACAGCTATACCGAATCCTGCTCTGAGCTGATACGCGCACTTCCTAGCAGGGGTCAAGCAATAGTAGGAGTCCAAGTCATTTCTTTATTTCCTGATCAATGTCATTTGCACTGTCCCAACTGTTTACGTGAAGTTAGCATGGATCTTGAATTTAACCTGAGACCTTTCTCTTTGAAATTACAACATTTAGTGTGAATACGTTTTAATTCGAAAATTTGTAATCTGCACTCTCAAAGTTAGTGAATCACCACTAACATACATCTAGTGTTATTTTAAACAACTCAATTTCTGCATTTCTACTGAGACTGATCTACCATTTTCCCCTGAAGCTTAGTCGGCAAATTCCAAACAATGTAAGAAAAGGTGGGAAACAAATAAAATATGTATAATATAGTCAGGAAAAATGTTTCTAATTGAAACTGAGTTACAAAACTAGTTGTTGCAGTGATCATTTGCTCCTTATATTAGGACTGATACTCATATATACATATTTTGCAAATGAATCAAATTTCCACCTTTTAAAAAAAACTTCTACTTTTATGGAGGTCAACAAGTCAACAGGTTGAGAGAATGTTCCCTAGACAAGTTTTCATTTCACCCAGTTGTTTAGACTGAACACCCCAGTTCACAATGGACTGATGCAGATAGCAAAGTTGTTTCGTTAAAAACAGGAACACTTTGTGAAAAAAGCCTATAGAAATGTCACATTAGTAGCAAACAATACATGAATTGCACCCGATCACAGATACAATCGTGGGCTGTCCCACATAACTTATTCTTATATAGGGAGCGGTGATTAAAATAATTGGAACCACCACCATAATCTAAAACAGTTCTTGTGCCAAACTGCTCAAGAGTTTTGCAAGCAATTGTGTTTGTGTCATTTTATGTATGGATATAGTACTTACTGCAAATATGCTTTATCAGTTAGGTCAAAGACCTTCCCCATGGTCAACAGTAGGGTAGCAATATGATCATCATTTTGAGACAGATAACAAAATTTCTCCCTGAAGAAAACTATGGGATTCTCACAAGCAGAGCTACAAATCTTTCATAATGAAGAAACTGTGGCAGAGCTGGGGCATGGAATATGAAGGAAGAAATGTGAAAAATGTCAAGTGTTGAGAGGGTATTTCTGTAATTATGATAGACAAAATCATGTAAAGTGTCATTTTGATGGATTTGCCAAGATGGCTTTGATCAATGAAAAGCATTTAAGACCCAACATTATAGAAACATAGAAATGCTATCTAAAATTATTCCTAAATAGTCTAGCTCTAATTTTAGATTTACAACATCCTGCTCTGGGCTCAGCAGCAAGTGTGAATAATGGACCTGATTTACTCAGGAGTAGAAACCTCTACACTCTTTTTAAGCAATGGAAGAGCTACATATTTCTGTCAAGAGACTCTGATCAGAGCTCTGTCAGAAATGCAGAGCTGTCCCTCCGTTCTGACAGGTCCCTGGTAGCACAGATCATGGAGGCCCCAAAATCCACTGTACCAATTGCCTTATTCTGAAATCAAACTGCCACTCAGGCAGTTCCTGTGAAAGAGTAAGGGCAAATGTGAGGTTACGGGACTGGGGTTGGCATACCAGCTAAGTAGGATGCAAGGGAGCTGGTGCCAAGTGTGCCAGAGACCTGGGGCAGCAGGGAAGAGATGAGTATGTCAGAGCAGAATACTGAGAACAGGTCTAGCGGGAGCTTTGGGGGTGGCCAGGGGCAAAAAATGGTGGGATATCAAGCCTGGCATGCAAGGATTGGCCTCCTGACAGGAGAAGGGAGGTGAACGTTAGTGGTATTGGATCTGGAACAGAGGCTGGAAGAGATCAGCCTGGACAAGCAGTGTGGGTGGAGGGGGTTCGGGGTTGTCGAGTCCCAGGCTGGAAAGGGTCAGATCGTGGTAACAAAGAAAGGGGGCTGTTGGGGCAGGCTGCTGCTGTTCAGGATTTATTGGTGTAAGGGGTCTGAGAGGGGTATGTTTAGGGGTGTGTAAGTTATGTTTGGGGTCAATTTAAACGTCACACATGAGTTAGACTGGGTATTTTATTGTCTATCTTCTGAGAAGCTATTTACTTTACAGAAGCTGAGCCCTCCAAATTCTCAGATTTAAATGGATACTTTCAGAGGGTTTCAGGAGCAGGGAACTACCCAGTAGAATCTTCAATTCCCAGGTAATTCCATACAAAAATAGGAACAGGAATAGGCCTTGTGGGCCCTCAAGCCTGCTCAGCTATTCAAGAGGATCATGGCTGATGTGACATTCCTCATGGCAACTTGCTGGCCCTTTCTCTGTAAATAACACCACAAGGCTCCCTCAGAGCCTGCTATGATGGGGATTTTGCAGGGGGCCATATACGACCCTCATCAATGCTGGAAAGTCAAAGTCACCGTAGTCCCAGAGAGGGCCATGGGTATGCTCTCCGCTTAAAGAGAGATGACGATAAGAAGGTCACCTTGCCTCAGGCAAGGGGAGAGGTTGAGGAAGTGGGATCTTCACGGTAACCTCAGACGGGCTGGGGGTGGAGCCCACGCTGTTGGCATCACAAACCAGCAGTCCAGCCAAATGAGCTAACCGCTGGAAAAACACCTGTCTGTTAGAAAATCCTGGCCAACTTCTCCTTACTCAGCCAAACACTACCTATATTCATTCCAAACACATGAATTATGTCAACTCTTAGCCTTCTAAATTCAATGCTGCTCCAAATCCTTCTTGTGAATGTACCATCTAATGCTGCATGATGTAACCACAAGTAAATTCAAAAGGCGGTATTTCCTAAACATAACCATTTAAATATACAGTTAAATATATTATGAAAATAACCATTGATATCATAATATAAATGATTTTTAAGTATTTTGTTTGAGGTGAATCGTTCATTCAGGTACCCAAGGAAATAAATACATAATGAGGAGGCATTTTAAAATGCTGGCAATGCTTCTCATACGCCATATTGGTAAGTAACATTCAAACCATACAAATGCCAGGCAATGATCATCCCCAACAAGAAAGAATCTAACTATTATCTTTTTCATGCATGATGGCATTCCCATCACTGAATCGCCTACATTCCAGGGTTACCATTAACTAGAACCTGAACAGGACCAGCCATATCAAAACAGTGGTTATAAGAGCAAGTCAGAAAAAACCTACAACTACCTCACCTCCTGTCCATCCAAAGCCTGTCGACCATCTACATGGCATATATCAGGAGGAATATGATGGAATACGCCCCAATGGCCTGGATGAGTACAGCTCTAACAACATTCAAGAGGCATGCCACCATTCAGGACAAAGCAGCCTGCTTGATTGGCAACCTATTCGCTACCTTCCTGCATTGACTTCCTTCACCACCACGCACAATGACAGCAGTGTGCACCATCCACAACATCTCTTGCAGTAACTCACCAAGCCTCCCTTGACAGCAACTTCCAAACCTGTGAGCTATATCACCTAGTAGAACAGAAATAGCAGACCCATGGGAACATCACCACCTGCAAGTTCCCCTGAAAACCACACACAACTTTGACTTGGAACAAAATTATTTTTCCTTTATTGTTGCTGGGTCAAAATTCTGGAGCTCCCTACCTAACAGCACACTGATGTACCGACACCACAGGGACTTTAGTGGTTCAAAGCAGGAGCTCACATCTACCTTCTCCAAGGCAAATAGGAATAGATGTTGGTCTAGCCAGCATCCACGACCAAATAAAAATAATTCAAATAACCACGTAATATGAATGCAACTGGCTGTGAAACAACGTTAGATCCTTAACTATTGTGTCATAGATTTTCTCGTAAACCAATCAGATAAAAATACTGTCCTTGAATATAATTCAGAATTCCACAGACTGCTTTATACTTTTGTGTTAGGAATTCAATCAGTGAGAGAATCTCTTTTCACTGTTATGATGTTATTGTGATGTGCCATGTTGTAATGACTGGATACGCTGTGTGTATATTTTGACAAATTCAACATGGAGTATCAGAAAGAATACACTTGTTTTTATATGTACAACATAGTCATACCTCTCTTGTTCTTGTTTCATTTGTGTTCGCTCGTCCTCAGATGGGTATGTTTCTTCCACCTTTCCCTTGTTTGACCCTTTACGATCAAGCTTCCCAACTTTTTCCTCTTTACGGTATTTGCCAAACCTAGAAACCACAATAAATTTGAATACATGTTCAAATTTTCGGAAATAATCTTACTAATTATGCATTGCGTTATTCTGAAGAACTTGAGCGATTAACACCCATATACATGTCTTGCAAAGGTCTGAAGCAGCACAACTTAATAAAAATATGGCAAGACTTTGAGGAGATCGGGGAAACAAATGTGGTTAGACAAGCTTGTTAAACTGAATGCACACTTCTTTGTATTCCCTTTCTTTCTCCCAGCCCTACTATTCCCGATCAGCGTTCTCCCTCTTCATCCCACTGAAAACTTTGATTGCTTGTTGAGTTATGATTCAGCGAACACACAAGTGACCACTGTTCACATCTGAATCTAACTAATGTGCATTAACAGATGGTGCAGTCATGCAGGGGATCCAAACAAAGCCAAAAACCTGCATTCATCCAAAACCTATCTATAAACACTTCCTTTAAGGTTAATCTGAGCCTTTTTCAGTGACCTTGCTATGGCCCTAACTGAAGAGACCCTGCTGATTTTTATGGCTCAACTACAAACCATCATATCCAACTGTTATTGGGAGAACCATAGGTCATTATTTTCTTCCTTTTCTCTGCTTTGCTACTTATTGAAAGCTGCCTAATTCAGACTAAACAGGGGGGAATCATCTTCCATTTAGAGTCATACAGCATGGAAACAGACCCTTCGGTCCAACTTGTCCATGCCAACCAGGTAAACTAAACTGATCTAGTCCCATTTGCCTATGTTTGGCCTATATCCCTCTAAAACTTTCCTGTCATGTATTTTCCAAATGCCTTTCAAATGTTGTAATTGTACCCACCTCCACCACTTCCTCTTGCTGCTCACTCCACACATGCACCACTCTCTGTGTGAAAACGTTGCCCCTCAGGTCCCTTTTACATCTTTCCCCTCTTACCATAGACCTATGCCCTCTAGTTCGATCTCTCCAACCCTTGGGAAAAAGACCTCGCTACTCACCCTATCCATGCCCCACACGATTTTATAAACCTCTATAAGGTCATCCCTCAGCATCGATGCTCCAGTGTCCCGACCTATACAGCCTCTCCTTATAACTGAAACCCTCCAGTCCCGTCAACGTTCTCATAAATTAATTCTCTTTAAAACTTGCTTTCAGAAGGTGGAGGAGGCCTCCAGACATAGATATGTTCACACGGAGAATGAACTAAGTACATGAAGTTGGCATTTGGAGAAAGGCATAAATCTGTGCTGCAGGACAGAGGACTTCACAGCACTTTCGATTAACATACATACTGTGGTCCGAAATAATTAAAGAAGGCAGCTTAACATTACCTTTGGGTAGTGCAATTAAGCATGGACATTAAGTGCTGACCTAGCCAGCAATGCCCACATCCTACGAACAAGATAAAAGGAAAAATAGGAGCAGAAGGAAATGGCCTAGTGGTATTATCACTGGACAGTTAATCCAGAGACCCAAATAATGTTCTGGGGACCTGGGTTCAAATCCTGCCATGGCAGATGGTGGAATTTGAATTAAAAAAATACCTGGAATTAAGAGTCTAATGATGACTGTAAACCCATTGTTGATTTTTGAGAAAAAAACCCATCTGGTTCACTAATGTCCTTTAGGCAAGAAAACTGGTCTGGCCTACATGTGACTCCAGACCCACAGCAATATGGTTGACTCTTAACTGCCCTCTCGGCAATGCAGGATGGGCAATAAATGCTGCCTAGCCAGCGATGCCCACATCCCATGAATGAATAAAAAATAGAGTGGGCCATGATCAGAGGTACAGATAGAGTAGACAGCCAGAAACTTTTCCTAGGATGGAAGTAGCTATTACGAGGGGGCACAGTTTTGAAGTGAGTGGAGGTTGATATAGGGGAGATGTCAGAGGTAGGTTCTTTACTCAGAGAGTGGTAGGGGCGTGGAATGCATTGCCGGAGAGGGTAGTAGAGTCGGCCGCATCAGGGGCATTTAAGCGGCTATTGGATAGACATATGGATGATAATATAAGGTAGGGGTGGAGGTTAGATAGACCTTAGGGTTAGGGTAAAAGTTCGGCACAACATCGAAGGCTGAAGGGCCTGTACTGTGCTGTACTGTTCTATGTCCTTGCACTTGCTCCCACTTCAACTGAGATCATGACTGATCTGATCTTGGCCTCAATATCACATTTCTTCCCGTTGGCCTGAATCCTCCACCCCAGAACAGTTCAAGATCTTTTCATCTTGGCCTGATGTTGCCCTAATGCTTGCTTCAGGAACTATGCTATTATGACATGAAGGACATTAAGCTTCAAACAAAGCTAATGATTCCACATTGCAGTCTGCAACTTCAGAATCTAATCATTACCTTCACCAGTCATTCCTACATTATTCTGCGAGTATATCTCACAGAACGATGACAACCTTAAGTTGATTGACTTCAAAAGCAGCTCAGACAGTGCTCTGGCTTTGTTGACCTTAAATACGATGCCAAAATCTTCCTGTTTTACCTCCTTTTAAGTCTTATAAGTTTAATAAATTTTATTAAAAACATGTTCTCCCCATCCCAAGTTTCCCAACCAAGCATAATTATTTTTATTAACTTATTAATCATACTTCAGCATCTCAATAATTCTACGTATTTCACATGGACTTACCACTGAACAGCTGACAGGGCTCACTTTCAGCCTAGCAGTCTGAGTGGTAATCTAGTAGGACTGATCAAACTGTCCATTATCAAATCTGCCCAATTTTCATCCAATGCAAATTGATTCTCTTTGTGCATAGCCTCCTTAGCTGTTATTTCTTTTGCAAATTGTCACGTTTCAACAATTGGAATGGGTCGTCAAGTAGTCATTTTTGATTGGTCAGCATCCCAAGGAAGGCTTTTACAGTGGAAGTGTTTTGCTTCCTAACTATCTTACTATTTTGGTAATTTCACCATCAAAGTACTTGAGCATTAAAACTCTTCGGGACACACATTTGCATTCTATTTCACAGGGAATCAAGTTATCTTTAGGGAAAATAAATTTTCTGTGTGTAGTAATGTTATGATCCCAGCTGATGTTATTACTGGACAAGTCAAATCCTAGCTTGAAACCTGTATTGATAAATCATACTTTGGTTTTTTTAATGAGGTGGCCTTTCACTGAAACAAGCACGCAATGCTGCAGATTTGGTTTTAACAATAAACAGAAGTTTTTCTGGAAAAGAAAATGAAAACAAAATAGAATAAACCAAAACTATTTACAAATAACGAGTTTAAATGTTTTGAAAAACACAACAAAATACAACCCATCGAATCCCAAAGCACTTCCTTACAATACTTTAACATCAGGAAAAATTCTTTTCTCCATTATACACAGGGTTTGACCTAGCTGTGGCTTCAATTTCTGGCTTTGAGTATCTGATAGCCACCTGCTTGAGCAGATGCCTTCAAGAGAGAACGGGATAATTATCTTAACACAATTTGCAGAAGTGCAGGGAAATGGCCGGGGAATGGGGCTCTTCCAGATAGCCAGCACTGATGGGACTTCCTACTGCACCATAACTGTGGTATTCAGCACCAATGCCCACCACTGATACCATGTAGGAAGCACAAGGCCCTGGACCAACCATTGGCAGCTCGTGATCAGGGCAGTTTTTTTTATTCACTTGTGGGACAGCGTTTATTGCTCATCTCTAGTTGCCCATCCCTAGTTGCCCTTGAGAGGGTAGTGGTGAGCTGCCTTCTTGAACCACTTCAGCCATGTTCTGCAGATAGACCCACAATGCTATTAGGGAGGGGGTATGCCAGGACTTTGACTCAGTGACACTGAAGGAATGGCAATATATTTCCAAGTAAGGATGTCGAGCGTCTTAGAGGGGAACTTACAGATGTTGGTGTTTCCATGTATCTGTTGCCCTTATCCTTCTGAATACTTGTGTTGTGCACTGAGAAGGTGCTGTCTAAGGACCTTTGGCCAGTGCTACAACCAATTCCATTTTCTACACTAATATATAAGGGATATTGAGCAGTCTCTGGTGGAATCTCTGTCATAAGTCTCAGCAGAAGAGGCCTATCTTAGGTAACAGGATAACAAGGTGCAGAGCTGGATGAACACAGAGGACAAGCAGCATCAGAGGAGCAGGAAAGCTGACGTTTCGGGCCTAGACCCCTCTTCAGAAAAAAACAGGATGTAGTTTGTTATATTTCAGCAAATATCCCCAGCTTACTGTAACCCTTAGGCATATTAAATACTGCTAACACAAGGTAGAAAAGAATCATGTGCCTCCAACATGAGTCCAACTGATTTCCACCAAGAGGCTGAGACACATCACCAGATGAGGCAGAGGCAGAGTTCAAATATTAACTCTTTCAGAACTATTACCTATTCACCAGTAACCATTCTATCATCTGTGATCTTGGTTAGAACTATTATCTTTAATTTACCCCAGGAAGGAAGTATATTTGCAATGTGTGTGGCCTCAAATGGACTCATCAATGTTAAACACAGCTGCACAGAAAGAGCAGAGCAATACACAACACAGCGCTCTGCTTGCGACACAAGTCCATCTCCGATGTATAGTTGGTAGTACTGGGAAGTTTGCTTGTACTTGATAACATTACCAAATAACACAAAAGCTCTAATGATCACCTTCTTAATGGTTACAATGATGTAGGTTGCAGGAGTGGACCAAAGCAAATCTATTGATTTTTATTCAAATTAAGCCAGAAACAAATCAAACAATGTCCATGACTGTCCAACATGGCAGAAATCTTTGGTGCATAGTCAGTTGGTAGTGAATTTTCAAGAACTGGGCAAAGCTAGGTTGGCCTTCAGTGGAGTTTGAAGTAACAGCTTCTACTGAAGATATCTTTCAAGTGCAGGAGCTATTTTAAGAGAGCATTTTCTGCAGAAAGTGCTTTCCTTTCCCAGCTCTCCTTTTCTTATAAGTTATTAATAATCCACCAAGTTTGCAGATGTACGAAACATTGATTTTGCAGACCTGGGTAACCAATGTGTATGGTGTGTGATGTGTGCTCATAATTTTT